AGTCCAGGAATGGTAACTGTTCTACCTGCAGCCGCACAGAACCAGCACCCTTTCATCTGTAAACAGACTTCCTTCTACGCTACCATACGGACTCACAGTGCTCTGGAATTTTAGATGTTGCTTTTTCTGTTGACACACATTACCATTTAAGTTAAAGATGTACAACATAATGATTTGACTTAACATATATCATGAAACGATTATCACAATAGCTTTGGTGAACATCTATCATCTCGTATGTGCTAAGTCGTTTAGTCACGTTTGACTATTTGCCTATGGACTGTAGCCCGCCAAGCTCTCTGTCCATGGGGTTTTCCAGGCAAGAATACTGGAGTGGGTTTCTATTTCCTCCTCCAGGGGATCTTCCTAGCCCATAGATCAAACCCATGTCTCCTGCGTCTCCTGCATTGGCAGGCAGATTCTTTACCACTGCACCAACTGGGAAGCCCCATCATCTCATAGATACAACATAAAATATTACTTTCCTTGTGATGAGAACTCTTAGGGTTTACTCTCCTAACAACTGTCATATATAATGTATAGTAGTGCTAATTATATTTATGATTTTGTATATTATGTCCCCAGCAAATATTTATCTTATAACAGTAAGTTTGTACCTTTGTACCTTTTGACTGTCTTCATCCAATTCCTCCTCCTCCTATCCTCTGGTAACCACAAATATGATCATTTTCTATGAGTTTGTTTTTGTAATATAATTGAACTATAACACTGTGTTAGTTTCTGATACACAACATAGTGGTTCAATAGTTTTATGCATTTCTAAATGATCACCATGATAAGTCTAGTTACCATCTATCATTGTACAAAGATATTACATAATTATTGACTATATTTCCCTCACTGTACACTTCACTCCTGAGACTCACTTAGTTTGTACCTGGAAGTTTGTATCTCTTAATATCCCTCATCTATTAATATATTGCTTTTAAACAAGAAGTTCTTCTTTCCTGAAGTTTTGGTATTGTTTTATATCCTTTTATATAGGTTACTGGGCCTTGGCTTCTTTAACTGAAATAGGATTTTCCTATCACATTAGTTGTGTTTGAAAGTGTTCTGAACACAAATAACTATTTTTAATCTTTAAAAAATAGATTTTTCTGCTTGCTTATAGAGTTCTCCCTATTGTCAGGCTCCCAGCCCCTAAGCTGCCAGCCTCATTTTTTGTTTTTGCCTTCAACCTACTCAATTTCTTTCAGAAAGCACATAGTTTTAAGGAATATTACTTTTTGAATTTTCTGAAGCCTGAGAGTCAAGAGAACAGATTTTATTAATGTTGACTCAACTGAGTGATGTAAAGATTTGTAAAACTAAGTGGTTATGTTGTCTCTTAATGCATGCATGTAATTTCAATTAGAGTTACTTTCATCTCATAAAGGAGATATTAAATTTTGAGTGGGTGGAGGGTTTGACAGAAGAAAGAAAGGAAAACAACCATCTTCTCTTCCAAATGACATTTTTTTGCTTTCAAAGGTGCATTTTTTTTGCTTTCAAAGGTACATTTTCCAAATAACACTGTGAACATCCAAAGGGGAGGCAGAAGGCACTTTCCAGAGATCCAGTTGAATAGAGAAATCCATAAATTTCATCCCATGTTGATAAGCATTTGGACCCAAAGGAACATTTGTTCAAAATCCCCGAGGCAGCTGCCACATCTCTCACAAATGCTGCTTCTAAGTCAATGTTCTACTTATTCTTCGGGTTAAGCCAGAAGAGGATGCTCATTCTAACGCCAATCTCTCTTTAGTGATTTTTACACACGTCATAGCTCTTCGTTCTTTAAAGGAGATTGGCCTAGCACAGGTTATCTGAAGGGATAATTTGCATTCCCTTAATGGATCACAGCCTTGTTGTCATGGCGAAGGGGCTTGCATAACTCAATGAAGCTATGAGCCATGATGTGCAGGGCCACCTAAGGCTAAAGGTTTGTAGTGAAGAGTTCTGACAAAACAAGTCCACCAGAGGAGGAAATGCCAACCCACTCCACTATGTTTTTGCCTCAAGAACCCCATGAACAGTATGATTCTCAAAATCCTTCAAGCTAGGTTTTAGCAATACATGAACTGAAAACTTCCAGATGTACAAGCTATGTTTAGAAAAGGCAGAGGAGCTAGAGATCAAATTGCCAACATTTGTTGGATTATGGAGAAAGCAAGGGAATTCCAGAAAAACATCTACTGCTGCTGCATTGACAACACTAAAGCCTTTGACTGTGTGTGTGAATCACAACAAACTGTGGGAAATTCTTAAAGAGATGGCAATACCAGACCAGCTTCCTTGTCTCCTGAGAAATCGGTATGCAGGTCAAGAAGCAACAGTTAGAACCAGCTATGGAACAACTGATTGGTTCAAAATTGGGAAAGGAAGACATCAAGGCTGTATATTGTAACCTTGCTTATTTTTAACTTAGATGCATTTTACATCATGTAAAATGCTGGACTGGATGAATCACAGCTGGAATCAAGATTGCCGAGAGAAATATCAACAACCTCAGATATACAGATGATACCACCCTAATGGCAGAAAGTAAAGAAGGATTAAAGAGTCTCTTGATGAGAGTGAAAAATCTGGCTTAAAACACAACAGTAAAAATACTAATGAAAGGTTGTTGCTGAATCACAAAAGATACTGGGATTCTTGGTCTCCAGAGGAGAAGAATTCAGTCTGGGGCCAGAGGTGAGGCTTGATTACTCAGAGCTTTTGTGTAATAAAGTTTTATTAAAGTATAAAAGAGATAGAGAAAGCTTCTGACATAGACATCAGAAGGAGGCAGAAAGAGTGCCCCCTCGCTAGTGTTAGCAATGGAGTTATATACGTTTTAATTAGTTATTACAGTGAATCAAAAGAATGTCTGGAGGTTATAAAGACCTCACTAGACTCACTCCCATAATTTACATTTTAAGATAGCAGGATTAACCAGAAGGTTTTTTCCAGAAATTATCCTCAAGCAGGATACATTATTGTTATATAATCTTAAGGAATGTAGAGGGAAAAAAAATTTGTCCTTTCCTCCACCTTGAGAATTCCAGACCCCTCTCTCCTTGGGGACCCCTGGAGTTCTTATCAACCTCCCTAGGAATTGACTCTCTAACTAAGATGATGGCGTCTGGTCCCATCATTTCATGGCAGATAGTGGAAATAGTGACAGATTTTATTTTCTTGGGCACCAAAATCACCATGGATGGTGACTGCAGCCATGAAATTAAAAGACTTTTGCTCCTTGGAAGGAAAGCTATGACAAACCTAGGTAGCATATTAAAAAGCACAGATATCACTTTGCCAACATCCAGTCAAAGTGATGGTTTTCTATTAGTCATGTACTCCAGCTATAATTCATAAAGAAGACTGAGTGTCAAAGAATTGATGCTTTCAAATTGTGGTGCTGAGAAGACTCTTGAGTATCCCTTGGACAGCAAGGATATCAAACCAGTCTATCCTAAAGGAAATCAACTCTGAATATTCATTGGAAGGACTGATGCTGAAGCTGAAGTTCTAATATTTTGGCCACCTGATGTGAAGAGCCAACTGATTGGAAAAGACCCTGATGCTGGGAAAGATTGAAGGCAAAAGGAGAAGGGGGTGGCAGAGGATAGAATGGCTAGATAGCATCACTGACTCAATGGACATAAATCTGAGCAAACTTCGGTAGATAGTGGAGGACAGAAGAGCCTGTTGTGCTGCAGTCCATGGGGTCACAAAGAGTCAGACATGACTTAGCTATTGAACAACAAGAAAAATAATTTGCATGACAGCATATGAGATGGTTTAACAGAAGCTACTGCTGCAAGGGGCAAACTGAATGATGACATCCTGGGATCATCATGCTGCTGTGTTTTTGCTTAACGGGGATCCACTGCAACTCTTATTCCAGACAGAGAATTTCCTGTTCTATCAAAAGTAGTTAAATATATTCTTTGTCACTGCAGCTACATGGTAGAGAACACAGAAACAGGTGGCAAATAGACACCAAGAGAAAGACAACCAGATAGCTTGGGCCCCCACAAATGTCTAGAGAAAAAACGTCAAAGGGCTGGTGGCCAACCAGCCAGGGTGTGCACCTTCTCAGAAATAAAGCTGATGAGGACAGTGCTGAGAGTTAATGTGGAGCAAGTTCCATGAACAGAGTGTGTTTTGTAAATAGCAACGCAGAGCCTAATACGAGAAGGTGCTAGGTCAGCATAGACTAGCTCAGGGTAGAGATGATTTTCACATAAACCACAGCTAGATGGTTCCTTCCTTTGTGTCATGGGGTCAGAATCTCTCTGCAAAGCCCTTTTAAGAATTATAAGCCATTTGTGTCTGAAGACTCACAAGTTTTCCTCTCCATTTTACCCCACTGATTCTCTAAGGAGGATCTGTCTGCCTGCTGGGCTCTGACAGGATGATGGGTAGAAACTCCAATAGGATTGGGAAATGAGTGGGATTTCATATTGATCAGAGAGGAACCCCCTGGTCTGAGGACAGAATAGATGCAGAAAGGAAGGGGGGCACTGGCTGTTCCCAGGCCCTGAGTCAACACCCAGGGACACAGAGTTCACTGGCTCTGTTGACACTCCAGACTCGTCATGCGTCATCTCTACTTTCAACTTCAGAGCATTAAAGCCACAATGATTCTAGGACTTTGAGACTTGCCTGTTATCTTTTAAAATGTTAATATATATATATGAGTGTAAATAAGAAAGTAAACTTCTTTGTCTCTTGAGTCAGAAAAATTCAGTGGTGTGCTAGAGTACTTTTTATCAGAGATCAACTCTAGAGCCCCCGAGCAGGAGTGCGCGTTCCTTGCCAGCACAAATAGAATTTAATTTGCATGATTAACATCTCAAGATAGACTCTATGTCAGTGGTGGGTTTGTTGTGTCACTTGTGTTCCAGAAGCAGTTTCTAATGATTCTCATTTTAACATCTTGGGAACAAACCTCATCTCCTATTGTTCCTTACATAGACACATTGAAATGTTTGAGGGTGTGCAAACATACATACCTGCTGGTGGAGTGCAGAAATCCAGTAGTACCAGATAGCTGGGGCCAGTCAAGCTCATTGGTAAGAGCTATTGGTAAATTGAAGAAGGATTTCTAAAGGAAAAACAAAGTAGTAATTATCAAAATGATCACTAGCTTTCAACAGGGAGCAAGGTTGTCTATTGCTCAGGCATTGCCCTCTGCCTGTCTCTCTCTCACTTTGTTAATCTCTTTAAGGGACTTTGCATTTAAAGCATATACTTCTTAAGGTTAACCATCATCAGAAAATTTACAGAGATCGCCATCCACTCTTAAACTGGCTTCCATTCAGTTCCCGTGAAAGATGTAGAAGCATGGCATCTCATATTCATCCCTCACTTGAGAGAGATGCTTCAGGACATGCGTAAACTTTCAACTATTTAATTTCTGAGATTTTCTCCATTTTTAAGGTTGGGTAGCAGGAGGAGAAGGGGACGACAGAGGATGAGATGGCTGGATGGCATCACCGACTCGATGGACATGAGTTTGAGTAAACTCTGGGAGTTGGTGATGGACAGGGAGGCCTGGTGTGCTGTGATTCATGGGGTCACAAAGAGTCAGACACGACTGAGTGACTGAACTGAACTGAATCAGAAAATTGATCTTCTGAAAACTAATAATACTCAAACCTCCAGCAAAAATGCCTTCCCTGAGTTCACAGCTATGCCTTCAGTCATTAGGATGGTGTCTCCTGACATCCTTGGGTAGGTGGGGGTTCTTAGACACCTTTGCAAAATCTTATGGTTCCTTTTCTCATGAAGATGAACATATACTCAACATGGCTTGTGAGTTAGAGGGGTTCACAGAACTCCTGCAAATCTTGCACAGCCTCCTGTTCAGGAACTCCTGACATGGAATTCTAATTCTAATTTAAATTAGAATTCCTTTGAACCACATTCTATGACTTGTGCAAAATCACAAAAGAAAAATGTTGCTAGCTATGTCTCCTGATTGTTCCTTAATATAGATGATCTCTGGGATAAACCCCTCCTCTGGTCTAATTCCTAGAAAAATCTCATCTAGAATAATGTGTTTGGAATAGGCTTACCAGATTTAGCAAATAAAAATGCAAGTGCTCAGTTAAATTTGAATTCTATAAACAAAATGTGGTATACATATTCAACAGGATACTATTGAATCTTAAAGCGAAAGTGAAAGTGTTAGTTGCTCAATCTGACTCTTTGTGATTGCATGAACTGTAGCCTGCCAGGCTCCTCTGTCTATGGAATTCTCTAGGAAGGATTCTAGAAGGGTTGGCCATTTCCTTCACCAAGGGATCTTCCTGATCCAGGGATCCAACCTGGGTCTCTTGCATTGTAAGTAGATTCTTTACCATCTGACCCACCAGGGAACCCCATTCAATCTTAAAAAAGAAGGAAATTCTGACACATGCTACAACATGGATGAATCTTGAGGAAATTATGCTAAGTGAAAGAAGCCGGTTGAGAAAAAAAACAAAACTATTGCACGATTCTATTTATATGAGGTATCATGTGTGTGTGCACAGTTACTAACCAGGGATTGACTATGAGATATTAAGGGTAGTCAGACTTATAGAGACAGAAAGTAGAATGGTGATTGCCAGAGATTAAGGGAAGGGGAAGTAGGGATTGCTGTTTAATGAGTATAGAGTTTCAGTTTTTGCAAGATGAAAAGTTACAGAGGTTGGTTGTACAACAGTGTGAATATGCTTAACACTACAAAAATGTTTGTTTAAAATGATTAAGATGATAAATTCTATGTTATGTATATTTTACCACAATTAAAAAAATGAATATGCAAGAAATTGAATTTAAGTTAAACTGGGAATAATTTTTAGTATATTATGTCTTGGGCAATATTTGGAACATACTTACACTTAAAAAGTTATTCGTTGCATATCTAAATTCAATTTAACTGAATGTCCTGTATTTTACCTGGGAATCCCCATTTGGATAAAATCTCTAGTCCAGTATGATTAGGGATTCTTATAAGAAGCAGAAGAAGAGACATGGGTACTGGACAAAGGCCATGTGATGATGAAGGTAGAGACTGGAGTGATGCTTTCACAAGCCAAGGAACACCAAGGATTGCCAGTGGTCACCAGAAGCTAGAAAAGAGGCACAAGACAGCTTCTCTCTCAGATCCCTTAGGAGGAATCCTCCTGCTAATATCCTGATCTCCAACTTGTAGCGTTCAGAACCTGAGAATAAATTTCTGTGGTTTTAAGCCACCCAATTTGTGGTGCTGTGCTGTGGTAGTCCTAAGAAACGATGACATGGCCTGAACTGGACAATTTGCTTATAGTTCTCATGAGGGTCCAAGATATAGACCCTCCTCAGAATAAGTCATGTAGTAACTATATTCATATACAGTGGTTATCCCATGGTGTCCTTTACTTTTTCCCATGGTTCTGTGAACTTCCTTCACTCCCATTTCCTCAATCATCTTCTCCTTGCACATGCCAATCCCAAGGTCCCCAGCATTATTATTATTCTGAGTGTGATTTCCAGCACAAGTGGAGGCTGGAAGTGGGTGTGAGGTGGTTGGGAAGGATGGCTTCTTGGAATACAACTGTATTTGTTATGATTTTGCTGTGTCAAAGGAGCAGAAACTAACATGTGGAGGCTCCCAATAAATCTCCACAGACAATGCAATTCCAGCAACTTATACTTTGTCCCCGCTTGACAGGAAGCACCCACCACTTTCTGCTCTAAACTCCACCATTACCATGACTCAGCTACTCTCTCTCTTAGTTTCTGCTTCTCCTGACACTAGAATAAAATTCTTTCTCTGCTTTTTCATCTTATTTTTTCCCTAGGTCTGTCTGTCTATAATATATGTTTGCTGTAGGATTTGAGAATATTCAATTCTACTGGAAAAGACAAGAAAAACAAATAGAGTGGATGAAACTCATAAGATGTGTTAAGTCAAGATAGTGAGGAAGCAAGTGGTTTGAGAAATGCAGGCAGAATTTATGAGCTGTGCTAAGTAAGTTAGCAGCCTGTAAAAACACATTAAAACCTTAATGACACAATAGACCCCCACATTACTCTATCACCATTTCTTCAGTCATCTGCACAATGAAAACCCCAGATTTTGAAAACTGAGTATGGAACTGGGCTTCTGATTCTGGGTGGGTCTGCTTTCCCTTCAGAAGAAGGTGGTAGGCAAGAACTCTTCAAACATAGGGTGGTGTGTCTGATATCCTTGGAAACCTGGAATAATAATGTCAGGGGTGGTAGTTCTGAAGTGTGCTAGCAGAGTAGGGGAGGGAACCTGTTCTAGGAATCAGGAGATCTGATTTCTGTGTCTGACTCTACAAATTCAGTACAGTTTCATGGTTTGGATATGACATACAGGAAATGCATTCCATACTCCAAGCAGCCCCCATTCTCAATCAGAGGTGGGTAAAAAAATTTTATCTTCCTGGGTCAAGGCAGAAAAAATGTTGAGAAAGAGATAGGACTGGTGAGGAAATGGCCAGCAAACATATGTTGAGAAGGGAGGGTTGTCTCCATTCCCCAGTATTATCCCAGTCGTTCTCTCTGGATCAACCTGAAAAAATGGTCTCAACTACCTTGGAGAATCCTGGACTCTGCTGCTTTCCAGGAAGCCCTCCCTCCCCAGTCCTGGGATTATCCCCATCAGGAGTGGACAGCGGCTGGTGCTGAACTGCCACTGGGATCAGGGTGGGTGTGTCTGCATCCCACAGCTGAAGCCCTGAAAGGCCCAGGAAGGTCACCTGTATAGGCATATCCTTGTTACTTGATTAACCTTGAAATAATGCAAATCTGTGTTTTCCTGGTCTAATATCTCAGACTTCATTTATGGTGTTATGGCAAGGTTTTACTACTACTAGCTGTGCAAAAGTAAGGAAAATATAGCTTTACTAGTGTTCCAGTTCTGATATCGCTGACTATTATCCTATCTACTTCAAGAAGACTGTTGGGAGGATCAAGACAGCATCGTATTTAGAGGATGGATCACCTACTATCTCTCTTTCCAAGTGGGTTGTTTCTGGCTTTAAGAAGAATAAAGTTTATTGCCAGAAATAATAGAAAAGATTTGAGCAGACAAATGGAAACCTCACATATTTTTTTCTTCCTTAGTAAATTTGGTAGATAAAAATGAAAAGTAACAGCCATTAATAGCAAAGGTTTTATAGACCCTAGCAGAAAGAGAATGTTTAAGTCATATCACATTAAACACTAAAAGCCTTATTCACGCAACATTATACTCAAGATATTTCAAGCATTTAAGGCAGGAAAAATGCAAATTAAGATCTCCCTCATCAACTCCTGCTTATTTCTCTGGAGCATTATGTTCTCAGGAAACTCATCTTAAGTGTACCTTAAATGTACATATGTGGAAAGACTTAATATTTACCAAGAAAAAATTTCCAAACTTGTAAACAGCACCAGAAACTCAGTGAGTATTAAATCAACTACTGCATTGCTTCAAATTTTCTTCTGACTTTATCAATGACATAAAAATGTTTTATATCATAACTGGCAAGTATGTAGCATTTTTGTGTAATATTTTCACTTAACATTATTTTGTATTTCCATACTTTGAGAAACCTCACTGGTTCTCATTTTAATTAATTTTAGTATGTATAATACTTTGGGTTTGGGAATATTTTAAGCCCTAGCTTCAATAAGCAACTTATATTTTCATTTCATAAAGCCATCTTAAGTGAGAGAAAGAGAATAATGGCATCCATCACCCATATATCTGGTTCTGCCAGCCTTTCAATAACAAAGGGAATATTCTTGCTACTTTTATTTTACTGTTTACATTTGAGCCCTTCCCATCCAGCAAGGCTTTGCACAGTGTATTCTTTAAAAAAAAAACCAAAAAATTCTTAACTGAGTTAGACCTAAATTGAATATTTTTGAAAAGTACAAAATCACTTGGAGAAATCTGTAGCTAACTGCTATTGGAAAAAGATACCAAAGATATCATCAACAGTTAAACAAGTCTTTTTAAAAATTTATTTCCCAGGAACTGAACTCTCAAAGAAAACAGGTTGTTGTTCATCTGTTGATAATGGAGTGAGAGTCTCAAGACCTGGAAATCAGAGACAATAGCTA